GGCGAAGGCACCACCTCTGGGATCACTGGTTCAGGAATTGGTTCGACACGGGTTATCTGAGTCGAGCCAGGAGCGGTCCGAGTGGTCGTTTGTGCAAAAGATTCAGTAATCTTTGCCTGCTTCCTTTTCCTTTTTAAAGGCTGGTCATCAGGAGGGGAGTCATTATCTTCGTCGGAGTTGATGATCACCTGACTAGAGGCTCTTTTGGCCTTTGTTTTTTTGGGAGTAGTTGGGGTTTTTTTGGAACTCTAAAAAGAGAGAAAACCAAGATATCAGAGAATTATAAACAAAGAAAAAAAACAAGCAAGTTTGAGATTGTTACCTTAGACATTGGGGAATTTTCCTCAGTCTTTTCTTCGACGCACTCTTTCCTTTTCGCCTGAACCTTGACAGCTGAAACAAAAGCAAGCAATTACAACAAAAATATATATAGGTCAGGAAAAGAAAAGAGTAAAAAAAAAACCTTCCATTCACACCTTCGTGTATTTCGAATTCGATGCGAACATCTTCGATACCAATATGAAGATGGCCTTTGAAACTATCTAGCGTGTGCTTAGTCGGAACTACCCGTTGTGCCCTGGGCTTGGATTATTCTCGAAGGATTTTGATAAAATCCCCACAGATAAACCAATCTAGAAATGGAGGGGCAAGAGCCACTCCAAAGTCAGCAGATGGAAGTCGAGGAAATTTGGGAGGATACAAATTAAAGGCTAATTCATAACGTTTCTTAGGGGGGAACGTATGAAGGGAGTCGAAGACTCTCCATTTTCTTTAGAAATCTTTCCTTCAAAGTCACAGCGGCATCACGGACAGTCCGACTAAGTTCACTTGGCCAGTAAACAGTTTCAAAGAACTTTTGGAATGCTTGAATTTCTTTGATATGAGTCGAAGTACCTTTTTTCGCTTTATCCTGCACAGAGAGGAAAGCCTGGTTAATTAGTTTGCTGAAGGAAGAAGCATCGAAAAAATCTTCAACATGATACTTCGACCACCAAGTATGAAACTCTGGTGTATAGAAGCAGCAAGGTTCAAAGGGAACGGGGGTCAGCTGAGTCTTGCCCCCATAGCATGCTAGTTGCTTCGAACAAGCGTCTTCACTGAATTTAGTAGTAAGAAGCAAGAGAGCACCCTTCTTCTCGAAAGGAATTTAGGAAGTGCCTGCGTCAGTCTAAACTGTCGAGCCACGAGGTTTGGTTGGTAAGATACCAACGCAACTTGAGACTTCAGCATGTTCAATCGAAGAGATATTAACTTTGGGGTTAAAAAGGCCTCTCATAGTTGTGTTGACTCTGCTTCTTGGGCTTTTGCTGGCGCAGGAAAGAGCCTTGTGAACCATTATGGCCCGTACTTCCTTGCTGCGAAAGGGGCCATATTCGACGTAAAATCATGACGCTTCTCTTGCATCATGACATATCTGAGGAAAGCAGGTCTCAGCGACGATCCTTCTTCGCTGGGAGTGAGCCTCACCAAGTGAGTTCCTTCGACTCTCCTGTTCTTGATTTCTTCTTCTTCTTCATTTACAGCACCCTTGTTGGGAAGACTAGCTTCGAAGGAAGCATTCATCCACAGTTGTAGTAACCAAAAAGGACCTGACAGCAGTAGGTTGCCTTTCGCACCTAGATCTTTCAGTTGGGTCACTCCTTCAGTCAAGGATTCGTATAAGTTCCCTAGTATCATTTCACTCAAGCAAATGTTGTGCCCTCGATGAAGTTGGGTGGCTATGGTCAGAAATTTCTTAGCTACTTGAAGGGATTTGGAACAAAAGACACAGTGAGACAACCAGACAGTGAGGAAAGCTATGTGTTCGACGTCAGAAACCTCACTGGTAGATTTGTCGTAGAAGTGGGAAATGAATTGGGAGTTTGTGGGTTTGACTGATGAAAAACCTATTGAATCATCTGACTCAAGGTCAGGATCATATGTGGTGCCAGTTGATTTTAGCCCTGTGATAGCGGCTATATCAAATAGTGTCAGACTCATCATCCCACAAGGGAGATGAAAGGTGTTGTGTGTGCTATCCCAAAAATATAGGGAGGATACTAACATGGTCGAACAGTAGTTTAGACCAGTTTTTGACAGCATGATAAGGTCATAGATCCTCATTTGTTTCCAAAGGTGGGACTTAACCTTTTCAACCTTGTTTGGCCAGTTCATGCATTCATTGGACTCCTTGAAAGAGGGTGTGGCGCGAAAAACCCTAAAATTGGTGCCCATATACCTTAATTTTATCCCACTAAGGGCTACAACATCCCCAGTGATGTTCTCTACTTGTTGTTTGTGGACTTGGCCTATGGGTTTTGACCTACGGTAAGATGGGAAGAAGTCTCTAATGGTTTTAGAATGAGAATCTACAGAAGGCAGAGGCCCACAGAGGGCATGCCTTTTTCCAGCAATGGTGAAAGGAATTAGTACTTGAGAAGCGTAGATTCTGCGTTTCTCCTCCTCCAATGGTTCAGGCGCGAATTGTTGGTTTCCCATCACCTTCGGCCCATCCAGCACTTCAAAAGGTGGAAGCTGAGAGGTTTTCTTCAAGTCCTTCTTGTGAGCTTTTTGGTGATCTTTGGTCATGGTGGAAGAAGACATTGTTAAAATCAAGGTTGTGGAAGAAAAAAGGAAAATCTGGGTTTCTTTGTGAGAGAATAACAAGGGAAATACTAGAAAGCGTAAAAGGTGATTCTGAGTAGATGGTGGCACTTATAGGAGAAGGTAAAAGAATGTGGGAATGGGTAAGATCAGTTGGCGATTAACGTGGTTATAATGAGACGTGTGTTGTATCAGAAAAGGTCTGAGGGAATGTGAACAGTTAAGTCTAAAGCTCACCTTTTCTTAGGCCATGATTTCCTAAAACCTAAAAGCATGATCACAGCTAGCGGCATGCGTGAGGGAGATGTGTTGAAGCTGCTGTAATAAATGCTAATGATGTCATTAAGTATGGGGAACAGTGAGGATGTGACTTCGAAGACATGCAAAGGTCATGAGAGGCGTCGAAGTGGAGTATCAAAAAATGTCATTTTCTCCAAAGGTCGAAAGTGACATTTTTGGGGGGGCAATTTGTTAGCCTTGAATTTCGATGCCCAGGTGGAAGCATTAGGTTTTTAAGTTAAGACAATATTTTCGTCTATGGTTATGCTGCGGGGATTTCGACCAAAAGATGGACGATTCGACAGACAAGAAACTTTGAAGTTTGAATTCGAATTCTAAAGGGAAATACAATTAATTTTCGCCAATAGAAGGAGGCACGTGGCACTGTTTCAAGTAATCAAAGCATGCATAGTGACATTTGTTTTAATCTAGTCCATTGAGTCATTAGGAGCGGTTATTTCGACTGGCTATAAATAGTGGCTCAATTGAGGATTTTTGGTGTTCATTTTGTACAAGTCACTCAGAAAATTACTCAAAGTATCCAAGTCAAAGTGAGAAAAGAATTATAACTGAGAATATATGTGTCGAAACACCTTGTTTTAATGTAATGCATTAAAGTTTCCTTTCTTTACTTTACTGTGTTTTTATGCAAGTTTATTTCTTGGTCTTTATCTTTTGCTTCGAATCGATATCCTCTTTGCTCCAAATTGCTTTCATTTTCTACTTGTTTTATTGTCAAAACCTTTTTATTATTTCCAACACTGTTGAAGTATTTATCCTTCTCTTTTAGATTTCATTTAATTTTAAACTCAGATTAGTTATGTCCTAGGATTTAGTGTGGTCGATCCTGCAAGTTAAAACGATCAGTCTTTAAGATTTGTTAGACCAGCGGTTGTTCTCCAAATTTCACGGCGAACAAATTTTCTAGTGTTGGAGAGGCTTTGGCTATAAGCATTGTCCTGCATAAAGACACATGCTCGTGCTTCTTGAGAAGTCTGAGGCATCTGAGAAGGGGGAGTGGTTGGAAACTTTGGAGGAGTGATTTTAGGGTCGGAAAAGGTGATCCCCATTGCACCAGAACCAAGTGGTTTGGATCTTTTATCTAAGCCTTCTTCATCTGCTGGTTTTTTTATCTCAACCCCGCTTGTTATTACCACTGATTTTCGCACAAGGTCGATCATTGGACCTCTTGCTCCATCTTTCATCTTTTTCAAAGGGAGTTGATCGGTTCTGAACGGTAGGCGAGGCCTCATCAGTTGCAGAAGGCTGGTCTAACACAAACTCTATTCGAGTGAGAATTGGAGTGGGTAAAAGGGCTTGGAGCCTAACAATAATCTTCATAGCCTTTTTCATATAGAAAGACTCTTACCATACACCAGGATATCTGCAAGAAGAATAAAAATAGTTTGTAGACGTCAAAGAAATATTAAAAATCAAATACAAAAACAAATTTCCTCTCCTCACCAAAGAGTTATTTCCTTTCCTAGGCATCAACTGCATCCAATATAGCCTAGGTGTTGATAAGTTGTTTTTCCCCGCATATAACGCCATATGTCCAAAAGGGCCTCCACCTTTTTCAAAACCTAAGTGTTACCAGAAGGATGTCAAATCCTTTTTTATCACCACTTCTTTTGGGGTCAGATTTTCATATGGGATGATATAGTCGTGTGATTCTCGACCAAAATGGCTCCAAACCTTATATTTTGAGATCCTCACTTTACACTTGGTTGACAACAAAGGACAAGCACCAGATGAAATAGGTTCCACCTCAAGACCTTTCAAATAATGAGTGGACCTCTGAAGTTTGAGGAGTTAAAGAAAACAATTTTTAAAGTTCTTGCAATAAACATTCTCTATCGACATTGAAAAACCCTTGAAATTGTGTAACATAAAAAATAAATTTAAAAAGAGACTAAGGGATGATTCTTTACCTCACTTCCAAACGAAACAACCTTTTAGATGGAAAAAAGAATATCCATAGAGCACAAAGAGAAAAGAGTACTAATGTCAACATAACCAAATATCCTTACTTAATTTCATAACATCAAAGCAATACCACAAAATAGCTATGGTACAATACAAGCTACACATCCAACAAAACATGAAAACATTTGAAGAATCTACACACACAAAAAAAGTTATAAAAGGAAGGAATGTGTTTTGTTTCTATAACCAAACTCTCCAAATAAATCAGAAGCAGAACTAGCCATAATAGTAGCAAACTCAGTAAAACTAATAACACCATCCCCATCCACATCAGCTTCTTTAATCATCTCTCTAAGCTCTTTATATGTAAGTGGCTGACCCATTTTAGCCATAGCTCCAGCCAATTCAGCAGCTGAAATATAACCATTTCCATCACGATCAAAGCACTTAAACACACCTATGAGTTGTTCTTGATTCACCAATACCTCTTCATTCATCATGTTTGGCATTATGGCTCCTACTAACTCATCAAACTCAACAGAACCGTTTCTGTTTGAGTCCATTTTTGATAACATGACTTGAACTTGGTCACCAGAAGGTTTGAGACCTAATGAACGAATAAGTGCTGCTAACTCCAACATTGTTAGGCTTCCATCTGAATCCATGTCGAATCGTCTGAAAATTTCTCTAAGTTGATTAAGTTGATCAACTTTAATCTTTGACATGATTAATAGTAATAAACAAAAGTGTGGCTTGATGTGCTTTTTGAAAGGTTTGGAACATAAAGCGCGTCGGTGGCTATATGTGGTTGCTTTCATAGTATTGTGCTTTCTAGGAAACTCATGTGCAATGTCGTTGTAGATTCTTGGCAATTAGCATGACACTTAATTATGAATAGTAAAATTAATATTCATAATTATTTTTTAAAGTTTTAATTTCAATAAAAAAATTAATTAATTAATTAATTAGTTAATTATACTATATAATATTCTACAATTTTGGCAAAATTGATATTTTTTTATTGAAGTTTTTTGTTGTTGAATTTCTAGACACTTTTGCTTTGCGTGAATTTGTTCTGAAGTTTAGAGGAAAACTAGTAGTATTGTAATTTCTATTTTTTTATGTTTTAGATGTAAATTTCATAATTCTAAATAAATGGTGAATTTTATACTTAAGCTTAGATGAAAAATAATTACTTTTATTCTTGTAATATGTTTTAGATGCATAGTTACTTGCAATTTTTTTTTCTTTCTTATGCATAATTTATCTGGTGAGAGGTGACAAAGTAAATATTTTTCAAAATTTTATGAAAGAAAAACAACTCATGACACTCCATGAGTCTGGCTCACCCACGTGATGTTCCCTCTATACCAGACGTAGCCTACACACAAATTGAGGTGGCTTTGTCTTCATATGCGATTATTAATTATTGGTGGTGTAGATGTTCAATATGGCAGCAAGATGGTGGATATGCAAAATTAATGTAACAACTGTTGGTGCAAAGATAGAATAAATGATGAAATAGAAAATATTACTAATAAGAGAATGACGGCTACAAAACATGATAATGGTTACAATGATTGCCACCCTATTTATAAGCTAAAGCTAGGGTTACTAGAATAAGATAAATACTAAAATACCCTCTAACAAACTTAGGGGCCAAGAAAATAGTACAACTAAATAAATATGAATTATTCTAATATTCTAATATTCTAATACCATCCCTTAATTCATATTCAATCAAAACTTGTAACACCAATTCCATCCCTTAATCTGAGAAATTGATCAGTCTTGATAGCTTTTGTCAGAGCATCTGCTAACTGCTTCTGAGTGCTGCAGTGTACAACTTCTAGCACTCCACTCTGAACTTGATGTCTCAGAAAATGATACTTGGTCTCAATATGCTTGCTTCTCCCATGCAACACTGGGTTTCTGGCAAGATTGATTGCAGACTTGTTGTCAATCATCAACTTCAGAGGTTTGTTTACTTTAATCTTCAGATCCTGCAACAGATTCAGAATCCACACAGCTTGGCATGCAGTAACAGCACCTGCAATGTATTCAGCTTCACAGGTTGACAACGCCACAACAGGTTGCTTCTTGGAACACCAAGAAATAGGACCTCCCAGAAATTTGAACAAGTACCCAGATGTACTTCTTCTGTCAACTCTGTCTCCACACCAATCAGAGTCTGAATAACTCAGAAGTTCTGACTCATTATTTCCTCCAGAGGGAAATAACACTCCATACTTCAGAGTTCCTTTGATATACCTCAGAATCCTGACAGCAGCTTGGTAATGGGACCACTTAGGTTTACTCATGAACCTACTAACCATCCCAACTGAGTAGCTAATATCAGGTCTGGTATTGCACAGATACCTCAGAGAACCAACCAACTGTTTGAAGGTTGTAGCATCCACATCCTTTCCTTCAGAGTCTGAATCCAGTTTCTGATTTGTATCAGAAGGTGTGACAGCCATCTTACAATTCTTCAGATCAAATCTCTTCAGAAGTTCTAATTCATACTTGAGCTGATGCAAAATGATACCTTTCTCAGAATATCTGAACTCCATCCCTAGAAAGTATGTCATTTTGCCTAGATCAGTCATTTCAAATTCATTCATTAGAACCTTCTTGAACTTGGCTATCTCCTGTTCAGAACTTCCAGTCAATAGTATATCATCAACATATAAACATACCAGAGTCATATTGCCTTCAGAAGTATGCTGAACATAGACACCGTACTCCATCTCACATTTCTGAAAGCCTTGCTTCTTGAAAAATGAATCAATCTTCTGATTCCAAGCTCTGGGCGCTTGTTTCAATCCATATAGAGCTTTGTATAATCTGTACACCATCCCTTCCTGATTCTTTTTTACAAATCCAGGAGGTTGTGACACGTAAACTTCTTCTAATGGACCATTCAGAAATGCAGATTTTACATCTAAATGCATCAGAGGCCAATTCCTGTTAGCAGCTATTGCAATCACCATTCTGATTGTTTCATGTCTTGCTACAGGTGCAAACACTTCAGAATAATCCAGCCCAGGTTTCTGTAGAAATCCTCTGGCTACCAACCTTGCTTTATGTTTGCCAATTGAACCATCTGGCTTTAACTTCTGCTTGAAAACCCATCTGACGCTGATGGCTTTCTTGTCTTTTGGAAGTTCTGTCAGCTTCCAAGTCTTGTTTCTCTCTATAGCATCAAGTTCTTCTTTCATGGCCTTCAGCCAGAGCTTCTGCTTAAGAGCCTCCTCTGTACTTATAGGTTCAGAGTCTACTAACATGGCACACTGAATAATTTCTCCTTCAGAGTCTACTTCAGTGTCTTGCAGCATGTCAAATTCTGCAAATCTTCTGGGAACGCTTCTGATTCTTTGTGGTCTCTGAACTTGTTCAGAGTCTTGAGCTTCAGATGATTGACTTTCTCCAGAGCTTTGACCAACTTCAGGATCTGGCATATCTCCAGAGTCTTGAACTTCAGAATTTCTAGCTTCAGAGGCTTGACTTCCTCCAGAGCCTTGGCCATCTTCAGAGTCTGAATTTCCACCAGAATATGGATTACCATCAGAGTCTGGATCATCAGAGTCACCTTCATCTTCTGAGTCTTCTCCAGAGTCAGAATCACTATCAGAGTCAGAATCAACGTCAGAGTTTACTTCAACTTCAGAAATTCTTAACTCTGGCCTTTCTTCAGAGGTTCTAACATCAGAATCTGATTGAGACTTATCCCAATTCCAAACTTCTGATTCCTTCACAATCACATCTCTGCTGAATTCAATTTTGTTGGTTTCTGGACAATAGAGCTTGTATGCACCTGTACTGTGGTACCCTATCAGAATCATCACTTTGCTTCTATCATCCAGCTTCTGTCTTCTGGCTTCTGGAACATGTTTATAGCAAACAGAACCAAACACCTTCAGATGACTAACACTTTGCTTGTCTCCAGTCCACTTCTGCATAGGAACTATTTCCTTCAACTTCTTCGTAGGACATCTGTTGAGTACATACGTTGCAGTGGCAACAGCTTCTCCCCAGAGCTTCTGAGGAAGCTTCTTCTCCTTTAGCATGCTTCTCACCATATCAAGCAAAGTACGGTTTCTTCTTTCAGCAAGACCATTGTGTTGAGGGGTATAAGGAGCAGTAACCTCATGCTCAATTCCATTCTCCTCACAGAACTTCTGGAACTCTTTGGAGTTATACTCACCTCCACCATCAGTTCTAAGAATCTTCAACTTCTGACCACTCTGATTCTCAGCCTTCATTCTGAACTTCTTGAATTCATCAAACACCTCGTGTTTGAACTTAATAAGGGATACCCATGTCATTCTTGTGAATTCATCAACAAACAACACAAAGTATTTATTCCCTCCAATTGATGCTACTGGAAATGGACCACACACATCAGAGTGTACAACTCCCAAGGCATGTTTTGCTCTTGGAGCAACTTCTGATGCAAATGGCAATCTTGGTTGTTTTCCTTCCATGCAAACTTTGCATGACTTTTCAGGCTTCTTAATTGCAGGAATTCCATGTACCAATTTCTTTGAATTCAGATGTTGTAAGCTTCTGAAATTCAAATGACCAAATCTTCTGTGCCACAGCTCACTCTCCTTCTCAGTACTTGTTGCACTAAGACACTCTGAGTCTGCAGTTCTGACATTCACCTTGAATGTTCTATTCCTTCCCTGTTCTGACTCCATAATCAACTTCTGATTACAGTCATACAGCTTCAGAAGATTGTCCTTCATGGTAACTGAGAAACCTTTCTCAATTAATTGTCCCACACTCATCAGATTGCTTTTGATGCCAGGTACATACCACACATTCTGAATCAATGCTATTTTCCCATTGTTCAGAGTCACTCTGACATTTCCCATACCTTCTGCATTAAGATATTTGTCATCAGCACATCTGATCTTTGTTCTCTTTTCAGAGTCAAAGTCAACCAGCCATTTCTTGTTTCCAGTAAGATGATTTGAACAGCCAGTGTCCATATACCACCAGTCTGTCAGATCCACATTATCAGATTCAGAGGCCATCAACAGCACAGATTCGTCATCAGAGCCTCTGGCTATATTTGCTTCTTCTGATTTCTTCTCCTTGTTTGACCAACAATCTCTAGCAAAATGGCCAAACTTCTTACAACAGTAACATTGTATTTTTCTTTTGTCATACTTCTCTTTTCCCCTCTGAGCATTCTTTTGTCTATCAGAGGTTGAGCTTTCTGACCTCTGACCACCATCAGATCTTCTCCTGACTTCTGACTGCTTCTGATACCTCCTATCAGAAGTTGTTTTCAGAGCCTGCTGTTCTACTTCCTTTTCAGAGTTTCTCTCAGTCAGACGCAACTCTTGCGCTTCTAGACTGCTCTGCAGCTCTTCAATTCTCATTGTGCTCAGATCTTTGGAATGTTCTATTGCTACCACAATGTAATCAAATTGAGGAGTAAGGGATCTCAACACTTTCTCCATGATTGTTTCTTCAGAAAGAGTTTCTCCACATGCCTTCATCTCATTAGTGATCAGAATCACTCTGGAGATGTATTCAGAAACTTTCTCATTATTCTTCATGTTGAGATTCTCATATTGCTTTCTCAAGGACTGAAGCTTTACCTTCTTCACTGATGCGTCACCACCATAACATCTCACCAGAGTGTCCCATGCAGCCTTTGCTGTTGTAGAGTCTGCAATCTTCTCAAACACGTTTACATCCACACATTGAT